CATAAAGTTTGACGGGTTACCTACGTAGTTTCTATTGCATTCAAATTGGTTTAACGCATGCGTACACCTCTAATTAAATCCAATAGAATAAACAGCATAATGTGTGCAATTATATAAGGTGATTCAACAATTTGTTATCTACTCTAATTATGCAAATGTATATAAGATAATTGTTTACGTAATCATATTGCACATATAAATATTTATATGTGAAACTAAAAATACATACATCTTGTAGCGTCGTGGCGACGTAAACGATGTAAACGCAGCAGAATCCAAACTGCGATACAATTATAAACAGATCCACAACTTTTCTGAAACGAAGAGATTTCTTGCACTCCCGGCTAATATCAAGTTTTGGCTTCGTATTCTTCTTATTGTTAGTCAGCCGACAAGCAACTGGAATTCGAAATACCTACTTGGAGAGATTTGCGTATTTACTGTATGAGCTTTGTCTGAATGCCGCCTGAACAACTTCCCCGTAATCCAAAGCGTTTTTTCCTTCTCTGAAGAAATAAAACACAGATGCAATGGCGCTGACTGCAGCTGCAAAAAGCAGTATAATTTACAACAAAGTCGCTATCACATGCAATGTATCTTTAACAATTCGATTTAAACAGTGACAATTAATATCTTATCACTCACATTTTGCAGAGATGGTGGGCACAGTTCACAAGAATGTGCATACAATGAATACCTGGGAAACCCCATAAAAATTGTAGAACATATCACATATGCATCAAAATCACTAATAATATATTTCCAATTCAACCGCAATGTACGGTATATGTGAATAAAAATTACTACTCGTACTTTGTGTAGCGAGCACTCAAAAAGGAAACAAAAGATTCGTTGTCTGTTCGTATAAACACTTACAAATAAATCCCATCACAACAATGGCAATCGTTCCCGTCTGGAATCCAAACATAAAAAAATCATTAAAGGCAACATAAAACATAAAACATAAAAAATCGTTACAACTGTACAAACTGGCAAAGCGGGTAGATTCTTTTTCTCGCCACCTTATACAACACATACCGCCAAGCCTGCGTTGTTTACTGCGCTTGCCATGGCAAATATGCCGGTCCCGATGTTTCCTTTGAGCAAGTGCATGAGGGTTTGCAGATTTCTACAAGTTGTAAACATGGAAGGACATCACGATTGCCAGTGGTAAAAAAACACTACGAGTATGAATTGTAAGTTCTTAGTAAGTGTCGACGAAGAAAAAGATCTGTAGCAGCTGATAATTCAAATTAATTTATAAAACGATTTAGCCTATGAAATTTTAAAGTCTTTGGGGATTTAAGGAATGGATTATCCTGCTACGGACATGCAAACCGCGTACTTACGTCGTTGTGGTTTGAGCATTTCTCCTATCTTCACCGAGGTCAGCGTGCGCAAACGGATCCAATTCCCGCTCACTTTCCACATCTTTTCTTTCGTAGCTTTCCCTGGCCGCATCCTCACCATGTCCAACAGTGTTTACTGACACCGCAAAATCACTGTCGACACTGTTTATCACCGATGTAGGCGCGTGTGATACTCCGTCCGGGGAAGACATTTTGGCATAGAATTACGCAGCTGCATCCGGTTGGAATCCCAGACACGGTAGAATACGGCACAACACCGGTTGGACACTAAATAATAAATAAACATGTTTGTCCTCTTATCCGATTGTGTCGAAGAGGGTATTTTTGAAACTGATACCAAATGTTTCGAAAGCTGCCTGGCACTGTTCTGACGGAGTACCGCAACGAGTACCGCAATCGGAGACGGAAACAGTTGCTATGCCGAATGCGGATGGCAAAACACTGCGGTAACATATGACTCGGATTGTTTGTACGGGCTGCTGCATTTGACTAATCTGGGTTTGTAAGGAAATCGCCATACTTGGTCCATTTCCTGCTATCTGACTCAGCGTAACAATATTATCGGACGAACCTTTCAGGAATGTCGCTGCTTATGAATAACGTGGTAGACATGCTTTCAGATTGCGGGTTCGGTTCAAATGGGCAACTTGTTTATCAACCGCGGTAAATTACACCATGTCGATAGAAAAGAACGAAAATGCCGATACAGTTTTGTGCCTAACAAAACGTTTCTTGGTAATCTTTCTCAAATGACAAGTGGTTACAATTCGATTTTTCTGTAATATTAATTTTAAAACCGCATATGTGACCTTATCCTGCTTGCGTACCTATCTTATTTTCGGGTGCTGCGCCATGACCGGAAGTCCAATCGATCCGATTAGCTTCAAGCTGTTGTTTTAAAGAAAATAACGTTGTAAGGCCATACAAAATGTACTACGTCTGTCGTCTTAAATTATTCATATCTCAGAAGTATATAATTTGAAAAATAGTATGTACAGTACCTCATATAATTATATATTTTTGTGCGAGACTGACTACAGCGACCGAAATAAGAATAGTTATTGGTGTTGCAAGCAATTTTATCCAGTTGCTGGTTAGAACATTTCCGATTTTCTGTCCAAATTTAGTGTTTTACTGTGCACCCTGGTTTCACCCCGCATATTTGTATTGTGATCGTCCTTTCCCTATATATTTATATTATATAATCTCTATACTTAATTCTTTAAAATTAATAAAAAATAAGATTCATGTTGCAAAGTAGAGGAGAGCAAGCGGTCTTTTACCTTATTGATGCTTCGGTTGCGCGAGTTTTGCTACAAAACTTTAAAAGAATAGGTTATGTGCCTTTTCCCTAATTTGTAATAGGGTTTTTTGCCGCGTAACAGCAAGCGGAACTCAATAAAGGTTGATAGATATACATAATTATGTTTTCATAACATGCGTTCATGTAGCATGTAGTACAATATGGACTACAGACACAGTAGTAGTACTCGTATTCATATAACCAGTACCGCATTCCTGGCCGTTTGCTTTGTGACTGCCGCTCAATTGGGGAGACCGACAGTGTTGTTCACTTTTCCGTCAAAGCCAACCGAACCGACCCTGAAAAACCATGCAACTGAAAGTTCCGAAGGTTTGTTGGCTTCATTTCTGTTTTCCTGCAATCTGTGCACTTTTCATTAATTATTACTTTAGTTTCTGGTGTAGAAGATTAGCGTATGATTCGCGGTTTGACGTAGATTACAAAATCGGCACTGAAAATTGTGTTTGCTTCTTATTCGATTTATGACATTTGTCTCCTGAGCCGTCATGGAGCAAGTGCAGGTTTTCAAGGAAATTCTGAACCAGATAGGAAGCGGCCAGGGAACGTTTCGTGAGTCCGGCGAACAGGGCCGTGCATTGATGGATGTAGTCCGCCAGCTGCCGAGCAGCGATGTTAAAGGTGAATGCCTGAAATCCTTCCTGGACGTGATTCTGCGCGAATCCTTCAACATCGTCTCGGCACGGCAGTACCTGAACGAATTTGTAACGGGAGTGAATGATCTCGACGCGGAGATGCAAAAGATGGTCATCAGTTATGCCTTGGACAAAATGCAGTCGCGCTCCATCTCTTTCGAGGAGCAGATGTATCCGCTGCGACTGCGCTTGGCCGCCGAGTTGGAGCGCGAACAGAACTGGTTGCAGGCGGCCCCGTGTGCTGTCACAGATCCCGCTGGAGAGTGGACAGAAGCAGTATACCAAGGAGAATAAGATGGATTTGTATTTACGTCGGGCGCCTGTTCCTGGAGGCTGAGGAGTTCACGGAAGCGGAGAACTACATCCACCGTTTGGGCCTGTCATTGATAGCGCCGCTTCCGAAGAGATCCGCAGTTCGCTTCAGCACTTGAAACACAAGCACCTCGTCGAAGTTACAGGTATGACGCAATTCATGCAACTGTTTAATTTTTACTGTTTTCAGGCTTTGGTCTATTATTATTTTTTTTATAGAGCTCGATGGATCGTCTAATTGTTTCGTTAGGAAGCCCTGTGATTTAACGGAGCAGTTTGCGAAGGTGATGGATTTGATCCGCGGACTGCCCGATAACCATGCCAAAGAGGAATGCCTGAGCATTTCTTAAACACAATCCTCCGGGAATCATTCAATGTTATCTCAGCGGCAGTATCTCGAAGAATTCGCGACTTCCGTGTATGATTTGGATGCGGAAACACGAAAATCAGTGCTTAAATATGCGCTTAGTAAAAGCACGAGTGCATTCAAGGAACAAATGTTCAAACTACAACTACTTCTGGCCGATGTATTGGAAGACGAACAGAATTGGCGTGAGGCGGCTTATGTGCTGGTGCTGACTGAATTCCCAGAACAGCCCGTTTTAGAACGTATCAAACTGTATCGTCGAAAGGTCCGCCTCCTTCTTGCAGGTGGAGATTTCGGTCTAGCAGAAAGTTGCAATGCAACATTGGGATTGTTGCTTCAAGGTGACCCCACCATTCCCGAGGAATTTCGGGCGTTTCATGCAACCTCTTTTGCGAGCATACAGAATTTCAAACGTCAAAACAATAACTGAAGTTCTGGCGAGCTATGGAGAAACCAGATGCAGATTTCTTCAAGTATTGCAGGTCAATGCAGGATATGGATTAAGAAACTATTCCTGCTGGAAAATAACGACGGAAGTACCTTGTGGAAATGCGCCTTCTAGTAGTTTATTTTTTTTTCTCTTGTAGATAGAAATGAGTACGTTCAACTAGATGGTTCACTGTTTTTTTTTGCTACATAACGCTCAACGGCACTAACCGTAAGTAGGAAATTAGGAATGATTACAGTAGTGACCATAACTCTGAATAGAAATTGTTGCGGTTCAATGATGCATTGGGTTAATCAATTGTTTTTCCTGTTGATTATCAACTGTTCTGTTGATCTGATTCCCGTTTCCATTGCTCATGGGATTATCTGTCAAATTCTATAGAAATACTCCGCTTTTTAGTTTTCTGTTTTCGATGCTCTCGCTGAATCTTCGAATCGAAGATGCCGTGCGCATCGAATTTATAGCACTGTTTGGCAAAAGTGTAGGGAAAACCCCGTGTAGTCCTTTTTTTTTTTGCAATCGTATTGTTAGTACGAGTATGGTTTTAATAAATCTTCGTCTCCCAAAATTTTAGAAAATCTGAAACCGCAGCCAGACATATAGAAAGTTCATTCATAAACATCGAGCAGAAGAGATGTTCGACACAAGTAGTCTAAACTGGAACAAAAGGCGAATACGGACAAATTAAATTTCCGAAACCAAATCATCATGAAAAGAAGGAAAAATCGCCATCACATTCCGAACGACTCCGGTTTCATTCCTTATTCTGCTTTTGAGACGCTTCAAACCATGCTTTGCTGATGGTCCGTTTCATATCATCATCTCCTTCCTCGTACATCTGCAAACAAAAATCGGCAAGATCAGACAATATATCACATATTTTGCAGAGTTTTTTTTTGAGACCTCAGTGTAGACTCTGATGATTTATCAATATTTTGAAGGTTATTATACAAAGTAAATGAAATGACAGAATTAAGAAAATCAGGGCAATGTAAGCATTTTCGTATTTAACGAGCACCGCTTTTCAGTACCATTAACACGTTAAACCCAATCGCAATGGGTTATAATTTATATCACTCATGCGGACACATTTTGATACAAAATTACACGTAACACACCTTTTTCATCATAGTCATCATGCTAGCGGAAGGATCCGATTTGGCATCCGAATCCATGTCAAATTTTTCTTGTCTACAATCAACAACGAACAACCTGAGTAAAGGACTGTCAGCATATAAACACCGGAACATTTTGGCGATTAATATCTCTATCGTACGCCTTTTTGTCTTTCCGCTGCTTCTCCGCCGCGGTAACGCATTCCCATGTTTTGGATTCTTTTTTCCGCAGATTCAGCACCACAGAATCGCCGCGCAGTTTGTGAGTAGATTCCTCGGGGATAATTGCGTAGGCCAAGTTGGCTAAATCGAAATAATAATCGCGCCCGTTCAGACCCTTCACTTCCATGTGAGCGCCCTAAAACCAGCAAGTTTAAGTAGAGTGAAAACTGAGTTTCCTGTTCAGGAAAAAAGTTTCTGGAAGCGCGTAAAATGAACAATGTCATGAATAGCAGCGGTTGTACCAACCGTTCTGAGAAAGATTATGTGACATTTTCGGCCTGAATCCCTTTAATATCCTTCAGTTTATCGCTGATGTACAAAGTAAAGAACTTGTCGGACTGATCCCATCCTAAGCAAACATAAACAACAACTTGGCCCATAATTCGTATAAATTTAGTAACTGCAAAGGGACCACGCTTAACGCAGGAAAGCCACAGACGATCAATTTTCGAGATTTCAAAATCTGCATTATGGTTGGCCTTTGATAACTAAAGCTTCACAATTTCTGTAATACTGCTAATAGCGGAATAGCGACAGCGGCACAGATTCATTTTGACGCACCGTACAAGCTGATTTTTGGTCCGACTGAGTGCTGGCGCGGCAGAGGCCCTTTTTCGGTTCCTGCCCCGCACGACGATTAATGTCGCTCTCCAGCTTGCTGATTTCCGCAGTGAGAAGGTTTTTCACAAAGGTCGCGAGGCCTTCTCACAGAACTGCTTCAACTCGTCCAGATCCAAGCGCGACTGGCCAAAAAACGCAAACGCACACTAAAACTGTTCGCAAGCAGTTCGTGATCATCCAATCTTACCTCTGCTACAGGACCCATTTCCCAAAATATGTTACTGACTTTACTCAAAAAAAAAGACTTCTCGTGGCGCTTACAAAATTCTTTAGTCTAATCCTCAAATGCAGAGAGCAACTTCAAAAGAGACAGTGACAAAGACTTCCCACTGTTCAGAATAAATTATTTCATTTTGAGACGGCAGTATAAATCGTCATGAAAAGAAATGTGCACAAAAGTTGACGAAGGAACGGAAGGATGCAGCAAACCACCTGCAGTCTGCCAGCTTTGGTCATAGTGTACTCTGACCTCTGTACACTACAATAAATTTGTAATTATTTTATTTGCAAACATGCTGAATTTAACAGCCGGCTAGCTGTAAATCAGATTACGATGTTTCAATGACGACTGAAAAGAAACTCTCGAACCGTGGGGAAAGTCGGCCATCGCTCTAATTAAAGAAATTGGGAAACGACTCCAGCTCCAAACAGGTGAACCTCGTTCCCATGAGTTCCTGCGCCAGCGAATATCGTTGAAATTCAGCGAGGCAACGCCACTTGTGTACTTGGAACAATGGAAGAGCGGCAGCACTAAATGAGATTCTGTTGCTGTGAATCCGTGACTAACTATTTTCGATATGTAATGTACCCGTATTTATGAAATAAAACATCCCACTGAAAAGAAAAATATGAATCCCGAACAAGAGGACCATTTTGTTCAACAACCCGCAAAAATTACAGAATCTACATATTTTTGCTCTAACAAACAAACACTGGCCATCTGACTAGCTAGGAACGGATTAACAAATATTCCATATTCTGACTGATCAGAGCAGTGCATAAATCATTATAACTGTACTAATTTTAAAATAACTAAAGACCGGCTAGACTGCCGTTTTCGGTGAACAAAGAGGCCGCGTTGAGCCATATATACTACGACACGTACGAGTAGCCCATTTCTGAGCGGTCCCCACGTCACTTTGACGTGAATTAAAGACCTGACACAGTGAAGTGGGTGCGTTATCCACTAGTCCGACCACGTCCAGTCGGATAGAGCGACTCTGTCTCAAACTGTTACGGAAGATGGTAGAAGATTACGTTGATCTGGTATGCTGTAGGAAAGGAAAAGAAGAAGAGGTCCGGGTCCTGCAAACACGAGAAATACACGACGGAGAAGTATACGTTACCTGTCCGACGCTAGATGTTAGCAGAAGCGATAAGAGATATCCATCAACCTGGCGCTACAGGGCATGAAGATCGAAGAGACCGAAAGGTCACAGGATGCAAGTGGGATCAAGTGGGTAGCCTGTTACGTCACGAGAATATCCGAAGATGATAATGCACGTCGACGAAGTAGAGGAATGACCCCTGACAATAGGTGAAAGGTCACCCAGAGGTCAGTTTGAACAGCCTCACTTGGAAAGAGAAGACCAGAGCAAAAGCCTGAAGTTAATCAGATCGAGTAACAAGACTCTACTTTGTTGGGATTACAACTCTTGACATTTGTGTGGGCGACGAGCGCCTTATATAGCCCTGGGCACCGCAAGTGCTGGCTCTTCGTACGCGCAGGTACGGGTCTGAGAACAATAGGGATTTAGAATCTAACCAATAAGAGACATCTAAGGACACGTGGACTAATCACACCGCTGCATCACTACACGTGGACAAATGAGAACATGAGGTCAACTAATACACTAGAACAATAGGTTGAGCTACGTCATCGAAGCGCGGTCACGTCGAAGTGGCAAGTCGCGGTCAAAGTTCTCTGCTGGGGATTTCTGAGAAGTCGAAGTAGAGACTCGGGGTCAGGACTCGCGTAGAAGATGTAGTAAAGCCTAAGCCTTAGTTGTAGGGGTAGAAGTAGTAAAGTAGTACCGATGTGTACTAAGGGACGCCAGTACACGTCACCCCGCAAACGAGATTTCTGGATCGTAGTGGAACAAAAGTGAAGCTCTGCGGAACGACGTGGAACGAAGAGGAAGGAACATAGGGACATAGGAAAAAGTAACATCTGCTCCATCCGCATAGTGCGTGCAATATCTAGCACTATCGCCAAATTCCATCCCGACTATCCGGTGCCATCAAAAGTAAGTAACATCGCACGGTCCGGTAAGTTGTTAGTAAGTTAAAAGGTCATCGGATCCTGGAGCGTAACTGGCAATCCGGAAGTCCAAGGAAGTGGAAAGGCGGAGAGCAGAACGTCCATGAGATCCAAACGTATAAACGACAAAAGTTCTTGTTCTAAGCATTAAGTGCTGTAAATTGATCATTTGATGTTATTTCGTATTTCTCTAACTGGCAACAGCACGAAAGTATTAGTCGATTGAAGCCACCGTACTACGATCAACTAGTGAAAATTAAAGGATTAAAAGGTTAAATGCTACAAACAAGATTTAACAATACTCTGACTTTATGCAATAGAAGATGCCTTGACTGATACCGTACTACTAACAATTACAAAAATTAAAGATACTAAATCCGCTGTCAAGAATAATGCTGCATTAAACAAAAAACATTGCTACTTCAAAGGTTATCCGCATATTCCAAGTTAGACTGCACAAAAGTGCTCAAACAAACAATACCGACGAAATTCAACAAGACTTGAACTTAAAATTCTCAAATCTGCGCATTTCAGAGTGACTGAAGTGATTTCTGAAACGGGTTAGGCGGTGGGAACATTTAAGACTTTAAGAGTAGTTACCGTAATCAACTTTAGAAAACAATTCTAGTATTTAAACAATAAGTTTCCTGAGATTTAAGCATCTACATTATTAATATTACACACTTATTCAAAGACATTTATTGTGTACTCAGAATTATGATTTTCAGAACGGACGATATTACCGCTGCATCTCATACACCGTACGATTCATTAGAATATTGGTATAGTTTTCCAAAAATTAAATAAAAAAGTTGTTTTCTGGCATTAGCCTAAAGAAGAGGACAGCATCCTAAACCACGCTTAATTTCATTGTTCGAACGATGCGCATGCCACTGTACTACAATCATTCGACATTCTTCCTTTCACACGTTACACTTCCGACTTCACACGTTATACTGCACAATCCTAAATCGTTACCTACAATTTCTAAAAGCATCATTTATGCTAAATCACACACCTTAGGTTATTATATACTGATGTTTCTCATAACTCGAACTTAGCTCAATACTATACGTCCACTTTCCTGGCTTATTCAGTACTAAATTCCAATCATCAGAAGTATCACACCGCCATATCTGCATCGTTCTGCCATTGCTGAGTTTTTTCACTGCGAAAATCTTCTTAACATAAGAGAGCACGATTATCCGCTGTGCCGTAGCACATATCTTCACATGTAGACTCGCTAAAACTGGAAAAATTCTGTACACAAAAGAATATCCACATAAACAACAAAAGATAAAATCATAATTCACAGTGACCAGTAATCTCAACTAGAATCACAATACCACATTCTCCAATGGAAAATGACGAGCTGCTACGAGAGACCTATTCCACTTCGCTCAAAAAACAGAAAACAACCAAGGCAAAATCATTCACGAGCAATTCCTGTTACAACAATTTCCAACATCTAAAACTCAGGAGAAAGCTGGCGGACTTGACGGACCAACGGGATTTCGGACTTTCTAGCACGCTTGCCTCTATACGGAAACTCAGACGACGGGATCTCTGGCGAGTGTTGACGCTTGGTCTTTTGACGTTTCACTCGTTTGGCCTGACTCATATCCTTCTGCCGTTTCTCGGAATCATTGTTCTGCTCATTTTCATCATCGGGTTCATCACGTACATTCGGAATCTCCAGAGAGGGTTGACGTTCCTCACGGTTCACTTTTCTCCGCTGAACTTGATCGCAAAATAACGAGGGAGTTGATACATTGTCGCTGCTGACACTCGATGCTGGGGAAGTCAAAACGTTCTGCTGATCATTTTCAACACTGACAGCGGGATGGGACTCTTCAGATAATATCGATGAAGTTGACCCACTTTCCGCGTGGAACCATCTTTGTTAAGCCGAAAGTACTTCATTCGCGTGAATCGGTGGCTCATAGGTTTACGTTTCGGTTTCAACCACGGGTGAGGCATGACAATTCAATTCGCAGGTCAAGAAATTCGAATCGTACAATTAATAGAACAATTTTCAAAAAGCGGAGTTTAACTGAAAGAGACTTACCCTGAAAGTTTGCACTGGACAATTCTGCACTGTCATAAGCGAAAACTCAACTTCAAGATTAGCATTAACTGCTCCCACGAGACTGACTCAGGGAGGGTGACGTTCGTACTACTATACTTCGTACTTGTACGTACCAACAGCATTCGGCTGTACCGTAGGACATTGTCCTCTCATTTGCTACTGTGTATCAGTCTCAAATGAGGAAATTTTACACTGCTCAAATTGTCCGACTGACTCGTGCCAGTACTATCAATTCGTCGAGACTGATTACGAACCACTTTCGATAATTTTGAGATCGAAAAACCTTATTTGCATCTCAGATCACTTAACCATCATGGCCGCTTCGAATTCTAACTCTGAGCTTATGCTGTGTGAGCGTGTTAAATCGATTTTGGCCTGTGTGGAACCTTTACTGACCCAGTTGATGCATT